AAAAAAAAATATATATATATATGTAATATAATATATATATAAATATATATATATGTATATATATATTTTTTGAGACAGAGTCTCGCTCTGTTGCCCAGGCTAGAGTGAGTACCATGGCGTCAGCCTAGCTCACAGCAACCTCAAACTCCTGGCTCAAGCAATCCTCCTGCCTCAGCCTCCCAAGTAGCTGGGACTACAGGCATGCGCCACCATGCCCTGTCCCAACCCGTGGGACCTTCTGTTACTCGCGGAGGCGAGGGGGACCGTGCCTGAAAGAGATGAGCGAGAGAAAGAAACGAGACCAAGCGAATGATTGTCAAGGTCTGCTTTACTTAGATTCTTAGTAGATTTTATAAGCATACAAAAACAAGGAAGTAGAAGCAAAAAAATAGAGTGTTGACGATGAGGCTTGGGTCTGGGTTAATCAGCCCCAATCAGCGTCTTATCAGTATCCTGTTTTTGACTGGTTACTCATCTCCAACCTGGCAGGTGGTCGGGAACAATTGCAGTCAGCATACCCTGGAGCATCCCGTGGTCAGCACGTCATGGACTGCATTCTTCTCGGAGCTATAGCTGGAATTTTCCAGGGCGAAGTCCGTGTGTAGGACGAGTCATAGGGGAGTTGAGGGTCTTTGAGGGTCCTTGCCTCTAACAATGCCCGGCTAATTTTTTATATATATTTTTAGTTGTCCAATTAATTTCTTTCTATTTTTAGTAGAGAAAGGGTCTCGCTCTTGCTCAGGCTGGTTTTGAACTCATGACCTTGAGCAATCCGCCCGCCTCGGCCTCCCAGAGAGCTAGGATTACAGGCCTGAGCCACCGCGCCCGGCCTATTTTATTTTATTATTATTATTTTTTAATGAGATTAACATTTAAGTCAGTAGACTGAGTAAAAGAATTCTACCTGCAGGATGCCTTTGGACTAGAAACACCTGTGTATGGGCCCACCTTGCAGATTTTGAGCTTGTCAGCCTCCACAATTACAAGAGCCAATTCCTTGAAAAAAATCTCTGTACACATCTTACTGGTTCTATTTCCTTGGAGAACCCTGCCTAATCCATATACCTACTGTTGACTCCCAGCACTGCTACAATCTATTATAGGCCTCAAATTTAGATTAACTTAAATTAGGCCTAGCATTGCTGAGGGGGAAATCCTCACAGATATCCCAACCTATTTCCTATTACTTTGAGATAGCATCATGTCAAAACACATTACAACTCAGCCAGACACTCTAACCTGGCTTCATCAACTCCGCTCCTCACACATCTTTCCCAAATCTCAGCATTAAACAATGATTGGAAGAGAAAAATTTTTCTTCCAAGACTGGTGTGCACAAACATCTGTTCCTGTTCTTCAACCTCCCTTCTTTATTCACAGCCTTCTCTCTTTTTATAAGTATTCCCCAAAGGTATCAGTTAAAAACATAAAAAACTGTGATTGTCCTATGGGACTTAAGGTTAAAAGTCAGCTTGAAAAATCTGCAAGGCTACGAAAAATGTAGTAAGGCTTCAAGAAATTTTGTCTTGAGTAAAAGTAACACCCTGAGTATTCCAGGTGAATAATGAGGATGGTTTGAACTAAGGACGTTGTAGGGGTTTTAAGTGGAAGGGTCAGATTCAGGATATATTTTGGAAAGGGCCAAAAGGACTTACCAATGTATTGGATGTAAGAAGTAAAGAAGGGAACCAAGAATTAAAAAAAAAAAAAAAACTGTTCTGAGACAACCAAATGAATTATTCAATAACCTAGAGGAAATCCCAGGATAAATAATACTCAGATAATCCAAACATTAGTTTGGTAATTTGGTAACAGTGAATTCATTTTATTAAAAGCAAGTATTATTTCCCTTAAATTAATTGTTATGTTATCCCACTTGGATACAGTCATTGTGCAGAAACATAACACTGTTACTGTACAAAGAAGGTAATCAATGGATATTTTTGAATGAGAAAAATTGGTGCTGATTTGCACATAATGCCAAAACACCATGCTTTCCTTTTTCTTTCCCCTTTCTCTTAATCTAGAATTGTTGAGTAAACAAACAGTGAGCATGGTGATTTTCCTGCTTTTGTTGAGCACAGTTCTTTAGTAACCTACACTTACCAACAATTATCAATCCTGTGCTTTAAAATTTCAATCCAAAGTATTATTGTATAAAAATAAATTTAAAAAACATTACCAAAGCCAGACCATAAGGAGAGTGTTTCAAGGCTAGAATATTGATGGGTAGGTAAAAGGACAGAATGTTTTCCAGGGAACAAAGAATCAGCTTCTGACATGATTTTAGTTTCATGAATCTCTTTTTTAAGAACAGTGAACACTTAAAGGGAGACTAAAACATTGAAACAAATGCTGCAGTTCATATATTCATTGTGTTCTTTTTAATTTTTATTTAAATTTCTAACCTCTTCAGCTCATTACCAGTATGTACCTCATAATAAATATGAAAATATAACCCCGTTTTAAATGCTATCCAGAAACACTTTAATATACATCATACATCATAACGAAGTAACACAAAGAAACTTCTTTAAACATAGGATTTCTCTCTAAAGCTTAAATGTGAGGCAGACAGACGTCTGACTTTAAAACAGATGGAACCCCAGAACATTTCCAGGATACATAAATCTGAATTTTGTGTTTTATTTTATGCCTGAGACAGCTTAACCAACCAAATTGATGGCTAGGGTTTCTGTACTTACTGGTTTTCCTAGCTTCCCTTTCTAACATCAAAATTTAACAACTCAGTATTTCTTTCATAGTTCTATGGATGACCATTCCAGAATGTAGATGATTTTTATAATTTGATCTGTGATTTATAATCTTAAGTGTGTGCACCTATTGTTCACTATTTAATCAAGACATAGTAAGAAATAATATCAATTCATGGAATCCAACGTATGTACTCTGACTAAAAAACACACAAATTGCCATTAATAAAATTAGTTTATTTTATATTAAAGTTTTCAAAAACACACTTGTAAAATTACCCACATACTGGGTTTAAAGATAGCCTTTACAAAGAGATTAAAATGTTGCAAAATTGTTTTCTTTTAACTACTAAAGTACATAGGTTTAAAAGCTGTTAAAAGACAGAATATGAAGTCATGGTCATTGTTTAAAAAAGTTAATGTACATTAAATCTGCAGAATACTACTAAAATATTAAGTCTTAAAAACATTTAGGGGAAACAGCTATACTTTCAGAAAGCTTTAATCTTAAATGATGTTTACTAAGATAGACACTGCATACCACAACAACAACAATCTCAAAATTTACCAAATTGCTTCACAGATCAATCAATCTACAGAGGAGAAAACACAGAAAATTGCTTTTAAATACATACTAATTCTTTCATTTTCCTGATAAAGATAAATCCAATGAAAATTTAGTTCATTACAATTAAAAATACAAATTATTCAATTTGATATAAGATAGCATTATGTATTTTTTAACATAAAATTTCAAGCATTTTCGGAAAGCACAGATTGTGTTATTCCAAAAAAAAAAAAATAGAGAGAGAAAACATTTATCTAACCAATGTTTTACAGAATTTTGGAATATTTACATACTTTATAACACTGTAGAAATCTTTGGTGGTGACATATGGACTAAGATCCCTGAAAACACTTTAATAATTTTGTTCTATCAATCAGTGTAGTCAAGTATTTATAATTAGTAATGCTGGCAGTATAATTTTTTAGCCAAATACACATACATATAGTGAAATATGTGAAGGGGATCTTATGCAGGACCTAGATAGATTTACATAATTAATTACTTAGCAATAAGGCGTATTTCTGGGTTCTTTTTATACCAAAAAAATATGATAAACTAAAGAATAGATTAATTCTTACTCCTAAACAAACTCTGGAAATAGATACATATTAATGAAAAAACTGAATGAATGTATAGTAAAATAAAACACCAGCTACAATTTCTGAATAAACTTGAACAGCTACCAAAAAAGTGCCCTAAATAGGTTTGTGCATCTAATGCAGTGCCCTATGTGTGCCCGGGGAACAGTCAAGGCACTGTGGTCTATAGATAAATTTACCTCTTTTAAAGCCAGTAGGCTTAAAATTGGAGAAATAAACAAAAAAAAAGGCCTGCTCCATCATAAACAAAAATGTATAAGCTTATTAGACCAGGTTCAAAGAAAACGGCATGCTAAAACACATGTAAGGGAAAAGAACCAAAATTTTAAAAATATAAAAGGAGAGAAAAGAAATGATAGAAGGACAAAATGATATCAAGGATGTAAAAAGGATGTAACAGAAGGAATATATCAGAGGAAGCACTGTGAATGAGAAGGAGTATAATTAAACAGAAGGATTTGCACTACTTCTTTGAGGCTGGTGGTGTCTTCTTGGATGAAGCATTTTGATTCTAAAAGCATAAAGGGAAAAAAAAATTCCTACAACTAAAAACAGCATATGAGTTTACTAAGGAATAGGTTTAATACTGAGATTAGACTTGAAAAAAATAAAATGGTGTAATTCAACCCTCTCAGATAATGTTCTTGATACACAGTCACTTAAATGATCTTTGTAGGCAATTTGAGATGACATTGCCTTTGTGTAGGAAAGACAAGCGTGGTGCAGCATTTATATTGAGTAGTACCAGGCAATATAAATAAAACTCTCTTCCAAGAATTGACAATTAGAATTCATAGCAATTTTGAATAGAAATTAAAGAGTCCTTCTAGAAACCAAGAGGCTAAAAATTAGTCAAGGTAAAGTACATAGAGTTATTTGTAGAGTTAAACACTAGGAGAAAAAAAAAAACCAAATGAATTTTTACTTGGTGCTATATATCCAGAGTGTGAAATAATCTAGAAAATATTTTAAGGCTAGTATCAGGAGACAATGTATGAATTATAACAAGGTACCATGAGTAAACATTCTGTTCTGCACTGATACTCTGAAGAGGCCCTGAATTAACATTACCAGCTGGCTTCATTTCTTAAAAGGTAGAAAGGTCAAAGATCTCCCAAATCTCTCTCACTGTTTTTTCTTTTGGAGAAAAAAGTAGAGCAGTCAAGTAAATGATCAGAACAAACATAATAAGTACAAATTTGATTACTGATCACTAAAGCCATCACCAAAAATATATTGACTTAGGGTTCATAATGCATAGTTATCAGTGAAAGCTAAAACAGTCTCAGAGTTCAGTAATTCAAAATCTTTTTGATTAAAAAAATGATATTTTTCTAATAGCTTCTTATATGTAGGATTAATGATGTCTGTATTTTGCATAGGACCAGGAAACTATCTCAGCCAGAAGAGATTCAAATGATCTTAGTCAATGCCAGATTTATAAATCAGCAGCACATGTCAAAGCCAAGCTTGTGAATGGATTGACTGTTGAATAATTTTATGAATTAGAAGGGACCTAAGTGCTACATTGGTCTCTGACATGTATTTCATAAAAGCTAATGGCTGAAAATGTAACCAGTGTTGACAAAAACAGGCTAACTTCAACTACTTTACACAGCTAAATCTGGAAAACTGGTTAATGCTTAAAATAACTTCTTTTTTGTTAAGATAATTAAAACTAGTTAAAAACTGTCCAATTAGCTATATTTTTATATTACTAAAATCCAAGGAATTTAATAAATGAAACCCACAGGAAAAGAGATGATATAATTCAAAGCATAAATTTGACATGTCAGAAAATGACAAACAACAATGTAGTGTCAGTAAAACTTAAATATACAGTTGTAAAATAAGTAAACAATTTTCAAGTGTGCAAAACTAGTCAGGAATAAAAGTGCTATGTGGATACCTGCTTTTCAAATATTTGTTTCAAAAACTTTCAGTTGATGGTGGAAAAACTGGAAAGTATTCTAAAAGTAAAAACTTAAAGCATATGTAAAACAAACTTTGTTCTCTTCATTATGTCCTTGTTATATCACTGCCGGATCAGAGGCCTATTTAATTACTCTCCTCATGTGATAGCTATGACATAAATGGAGGTAAATACAACACCACAAAGACTGATTTATCCTGAACCATAAAAACACTCTTTTCAAGTATACTGTGGGTTTGAGTTTCATCTTATTTCTCAGGCACTCAATGTTATCGATGAATTTGAAAACAGATACCATGATCTGATATATATATTAACATACCTTGCATAACTACCTTTCACAGTCAATATTTAGAAGAAATTGGTAAAGAAATAAAAATGATTTAAATTCATGAAAGTAGATCCTATCACTGCCATAATTTAAAGAATTATTTTAATGTGTAAATCCCAAATATATCATGTCAGAAAATGAAGTCAATGTAGTCACAAAATTTGTCTTGGGATTTGTGAAGTGTAGATGACTAAAAGTACACTTGTGGTCTCTTCTTCACTTTATATTTTAATGACCCATACCGCACCTGAAGAGAGAAATGTATTAAGAATTAGATGACTACTTTTTAAAATTAGATAGGATTTCACTGTTCATGATTATAGAAATTTTTAAAAACTTTCTGACATAAAAATTCAATTATCCTAATAATTAGATACTGTGTGTATGAGACATAAAATTTATGTAGTTGGTGCTATGTTGGATATAAGTTGCAGATGATTATTATTACTAATAACAAATAAAAGCATTAATTTTTTTATTTATATTTTACTTAGTATAATGGCAATGAACATTGATCATAATGATCTGAGGTCATTCACTGTAATCTACTGCTTGCTGGGCACAAAGACAATATAATATGACATAATTTTTTATTACTTAATCTTCATGTAGGGTTGACTGAAAGCAAAACTATCCAGTTAATTTTGTTAGTTGCGTTTCTTGTTTATGCACAGGGCTGGCAATGGGTATTTATGATCACCATGTGACATGCTATGTGGGAACACCATTTTCTACTTAGAGTACAAGACTAGGAATTTACCATTTTCAAAATTTCCTGCAACCCTAACACATCTGATTTGAATAAAGAACTTTCAATATGACTACTGCTCTATCATTCTAATCCTTCATTTATGGATCATTAATACCCTAAAGGATCACACAGCAGGGAAGTCCCTTAATACTAATCATTAGGAAAACAAGTCTACACTGGACTAACCTCTTTGCGGCCTTTGATGGTTTTCACAGATTTCATGCTTTGCGACCTTCGAAGCCCTTTGTGTGTCACCATCTCGTCATCTGAAAATGGCCCATCCGCTTCTTCATCTGTTTTCTCATCTCCATCTTTCAGTGCAATTCCATAACCTAAACACGTTGTCAAAAACAGCAGGTTTTGGTAAAGGGACTCCAGTCAGTATTGGCTCTAGACCCTGCCTGCCTGCAGTTCTCTGCATGGATCGCACCCTCTCATGGATTGCCTGGTTACCCCTTTCCCTTTCTCCTCTGGAATATGCTCCCTCCTCTTTATCATTAATCTTTGCTCCTTGTGCTATTCTAGACGAAGTTCATAACTCACTTCTTCCAGGAAGTTTTCTTTTATATACTACTTTTATTTTTACTATGCCTTTTTCAGAATAATTAAAAATAATTATTTTTGAGTAGGTATAAATAATTTCTTTCATCTTACTCAAAAATTGGAGAATATAAATAGATATAATAGCAAACAGTCTCTTCCCACCCTTTCTCCTTTTCATGAATTCTAAACAACCTGAGCATTTGTGTGTTTTAGTCTGTCATTTGTACATTTCAGCCTGTCATTGGTACCTTTCCTTTAAATTAGGAATTAAGAGATGTGTCACATATCTTTAGTCAAGACTGGGAATTGTAGGGTTAACTTAAGGAGTCAAGGAAATACCCAAAGGGGCTATCACTTTGGCCAAGATAAGTCCACTGGGGGCAGGGATGGGGATGTCAGACCAACCCTGTTGCAGCTGCTCAGATAGAAGCCAGCCAGACAGGCTGCCGTGATAGGAAGCACCACAGGCTACGATGACAGATTTTAGGCAAAGAAAATAGCCAGCATCAGGCAGGTCAGGGAGAGATCATGAGGGTGTGCTAACTATGTGTTATGTGTAGCTATAAAGACGTACTATGGTTACTATCAGGAAGTCATAGTGGATCCTGAGGCTGGGACTCAGGTACCAGAATTCCTGGATCAGAGGTTCTCAAACTTCAGCACATATTAGAGTTATCTGGAGAACTTGTTAATACACAGTTCTCTGGGCACCCCCAGAGTTTCTGACTCAGCAGGCTTAGGGTGGGGCTGAGAATCTGCATTTCTAAAAAGTTCCCAGGTAATGCTAATTACCTGTTGGGGCCCACAATCTGAGAAGCACTGCCTGAGGATCCAGAAGTGGGAGCAGGACAGGGGCCCAAGGCTAAGGCCCCTTGAAGTTACTCGTTGTCCTTTAACAATGATAAGAAGCATAATAACAATAAGGATTTAAGAAATCTTCAAGTGAGAAAAAAATAGAAGGGTTTCCAGGCTCAGGAGGAGGCAAGGGATGGATTCCTTGCATGTGAAGAAAAATATACTGAATAAAGTTTTGTTAGTCTGCTCTTCCAGAACATGAATAATTTGAGGCTCACTAAGCAAACCACAAAGAGTTGTTAAAAAGCTTCTTACTCTCATAATAACATAAACACCTTTAACTGTATATTGGGCTTGTGTAATTTTATGCTGCTGGACTTCTAGGCTAAAAATTAGAAAGGATTTGGAAACAGAATCAGTTATTAGTTAGGCCAAGATCCTTTGTTTTCCAGCAGTGGTCCAAGGAAGTGTGCTTTGGGTTGAAGAGACGGCACTTGCAGAGGTGCCAGGGCAGTCCCATTGCCTGCAAGAACTGCACGGAGGCCAGTGTGGTTGGGAAGCAGGCAGGTCATTAGTACGGGGAAATGCTCCGGACACAATATTAAGTAGGGAAAACAAATGTAAACAGGGAAACAAAAAAAAAAAGGAAAAACACAAAAATGGAACTACTATTAATACATCTCCTGGAAGTGAGCTTTTAGGTGATTTCAAATTTCTTCATTTTTCCTTTTTAAATTTACCAAACTTTTATTTTAAAAAAATTGTATTTCTTCTAGAATTGAGGAAAATAAACCAGGTGTCAGGTTGTCATTTCTAAATTTTTTTTTCTATTGCTGCTGCTTATATAATATTCCTGATCCCAATATGGTAAAATACAGAATAAGGAATCAAGGAAAGAGTCCAAAAGGATGCAACTGTGATCAAAAAGTTGTCTAGGGCCATAGATGTAGCATAAGATGACAGTTCAACAAACATAGTCCTTGCTATTTTAATTGTCTCTCATTTTGCATCATTAGGAATTGGAATTTTAGTCAAAAGCTGGTTATACCACTTATTCTTCCCTTCTTTTCTAATTTCAGCTAAAAAAATCTTATTAGCTTTCTAATTACAGTTTCAGGAAAAGTGATAGATCGATTCATTGTTCTACAAGTATTTAAAAAATTCTATTATGTATAAGGCAGGGTGGGGGATACAAGGATGAAAAAGACATAGCTGTCTTTCCCTACCCTCAAAAAACTTAGAGTCCAATAGGGGAAACAGACCCTAACGGCATTACAGTACCATAATAAATGCTGTAAATTGAAGATAAGAACAAGGTGATGTGAGAGCATAGAGTAAGAGAACGAACTCCACCTGGGGGTGGGGTTGAGGGGGTGGATTATGAGAGAAGACCTTGTAGGAGGTGGTGGCTAAGCTAAATCCTTAAAGGCTCATGACTATATAGAGCTAGCACGACAGAGTGGGAGAACAAGGCCAGGAGTTAAGTGTTGCACGCTATCAAGTTTGCACTTCATCAGAGAGCAAGAGGGTGGGGGCTGGGCAGAAGAGTACTGTAAGCAGAAGAGTAACATGGTTAGATTTGGGTTCTGCAAAAGATTCTTCTTGCACTTTGGAGAATGAATCAGAAATGGATGAGACTGCTACTGGGTATATATCCAAAAGAAAGGAAATCAATATATCAAAAAGACATCTGTACCTCTATGTTTACTGCAGATTCACAATAGCCAAAATATGGAATCCACCTAAGTGCCCATCAACAGATGAATAGATAAAGAAAATGTGGTACATTTATACCACGGAATACTACTCAGCTATAAAAAAGAATGAAATCCCATCATTTGCAGCAACATGGTGGAATTGGAGGTCATTATGTTAAGTGACATAAACCAAGCACAGAAAGACAAATATTGCATGTTCTCACTCATGTGGGAGCTAACAAAGTGGATCTCATGAAGAGAGAGTAGATTGGTGGTAACCAGAAGCCAGGAAAGGTAGGGGGTAGAATTGGATGAAAAGAAGTTGATTAATGGGTTCAAATTTATGGTTTGATGGAAGAAATAAGACCTACAGATCTGTAGGGTGATTACAGTTTATAATAAGCTATCGTATATTTCAAAATAGCTAGAAGAGAAGAATTTGAATGGTTCTAACATAAAGAAAAGACAAATATTTCAGGCAATAAAATATCCCTAGTACACTGATTTGTCTTTTCAAATTATATGAAAGTATTAAATTATCACATGTACCCCCAAAATATGTACATCTATTATGCAACAACAACAAAAAAGAAAGAAAGAAAGAAATGGATGAGACTAAAAGCTAGGAGTCTAAATGGGGAGGTTACTGTCCTATATATATAGTAGGTCAGAAATGACAGAGTCCAAGGAGTGAGGACAGAGAAAGTAGCCAAATTTAGGATTTATTAGGAGATAAAATAGATAAGTTTAATTTAGCAATTTATGAAACCAATCCCTGCATCAAGGAGAGAAGATGCTAGAGTCAAGTCAAATATTTTCATTATATTTAACTTGAAACCTAAAAATGAGCATCTTAATTGTTTTTCAAAATGAAGAATATTATTGAATTATTTCTGATTTTAAGAGTAAAAGATTAATTTTTTTAAAGGTCACTAAAAATCCCACTACTCAGAGCTAAACACTGTTAATACTGTTAACATTTTAGTAATATCCTTCCAGATGTTCCTGTATATATATATTAATACATTTAAAAAATTATATATATTAATCCATTTCATCATCTGCTTATTGTGTCTCTATAGTATAGGACTATAAAACACATACTGTTTTGTTACTGGCTTTCTTCTCCACAACCTGGATATGTTTTCATATCAGTGACATTATTATTTTTCACAGCTAATAAACCAGCTTTTTTACTTAATCATTTCTCTTAGGCATCTGATTTGTTTCAATTCTTGCTATTAAAAACAATGCGATGAACATTCTTGCACATACATCTTTGAACATTTGTCTAATTATTTCCTTATGACATATTTCTAGAAGTTTCTTGCTGAGTTAAAGGGATTATCATCTAAAAGGATAATTACATTTCAAACTCATAAAAGGTACATAAGAGTGTTTGCCTCTCAAGAGTGCTTGCTGTGGTGGTTTTAAGACATGTCCACGAATTTTCTGACATTCTTCTTTCCTTCCCTTAAATCTCACAGGTCTTTGTACCTTCCTTAACAAATTGCCACAAAAAAAGTTGACCAAAGTGATGCTACAGTAGGACTTCTGCCAGTTTCTCTTGGGACACTGGCTCTAGAAGCCTTCAGTTGCCAGGTAAGAACTCCAACTATCCTCAGAGACCACGGAGAGAAACCATAGAGGGAGATACCTGAGAGGCCCCAACCATTCTAGACACCAGCTGTCTGAGTCTTCCCAGCTGACACCAGACATGTGAGCTCTTCTTTGAGATTATGACTCCAGCACCAGCTGCTGTCTGACCCCAGCTGCATGAGACCCCTGAGCAAGAACTGCTTTGTTGAATCTAATCACCCCCAGATTCATAAGCAAAATAAATGACTGTGATTGTTTTAAGCCACTGTTTTTTTTTTTTTGTTTTTTTTTTTGCTGGGGGTTTGTTATGCAGCAAAAGATAACTGGAATAGTTACTAACACAGAGCACTATTAATTAAAAAAATTTTTTTTTACCAATCTGGTGAGCAAAAATTACTGTTATTACTCTTTTAATTTACTATTTTTTGACTACCTGAGGGTGAAAATCTTTTTCATGTAGTTCTTGTCAGTTGTACTCTTTGGTAGAATTGATAATAATTGGTTTGTAAGGGTTCCTGGATTGTTGAAAATCTGAACCCCTTCCCTATAACATATAATGTGAATATTTCCGACAGTATGTAGTTTGTCTTCTTTATGGTGTATTTTCCCCCTTATATGGTAGTCTGAAATTTTGTTTTTTATGTAGAAAATCTTGAACTTTTCCATTATGTTTTCCAGTTTTGATGTCATGCTTAAAAAATGTTTATCTATCCTAAGAATATAAAGGGATTTCCTATTATATAGTTTAATTTCTTACATTTAAATCTTTATCTTATAAAAATTCATTTTGATCTAAGATTTAAGGCAAAGGTCTAACTTTATTCTCTACCCCACCTTCTAACACCTTCTAACAGTTATTTATACTGTTAGTATAAATAATTTGAAAGGTCATCTTTCTCACTTGATATATTTCCATGTATATCTGGACTTCTGTCTATCTAGACTATTATTATTTTTTCTTCACCTGCTCTAGTCCTAGAACCATACTATTTTGTTAACAATATTGTCAAGAAAGTTTTGCTTATATTTTTCCTTTAGGGAAGAAATGCTCTGAATATGTACCACTCTGTAGAAAACTTGGAATTTAGGCACAGTAATGCATATTAAAATTTTAATTTCATAACTGAACAAGTACCTTTCTTATACTGCTACCACTTCATTTTTTTTTTCTTAAGACAGGGTCTCGCTCTATCTCCCAGGCTAGGGTGCAGTGGTGTGATAATAGCTCACTGCAACCTCCAGCTCCAGGGGTCAAGTGATCCTCCTGCCTCAGCCTCTTGAGTAGCTAGGACTATAGCCGTGCATCACTACATCCAGCTAATTTAAAAAATTGTTTTTTAGAGATGGGGTCTTGCCGTGTTACCTAGGCTGGTCTCAAATCATCTGCCCACCTCAGCTCCCAAAGTGCTGGGATTATAGGTGTGAGCCACTCACTGTACCTGGCCATTACTTCATATTTTTATAAATCCTAACATTTTAATTTCATGGTTTGAAATTTAACAAAAGAACTAAATAGCACCTCAATATCTTATACATATCATTTTAAATTTAATAGGTGAATATCATAAAAATAGTGTTATAGATTTTCATATATATAAACTTGTTTTCATTTATATAAGTGGAGTATAATTCTTAACTAATTCTAAAGTATAATTATGAAAAAACTATTGATAAAGGACTCAGATATGTGGCTTAAATCAGCAAAAAATATATGTCAGACCCCTTAATCAAAATTGATATACTACTAATTTTTAATGCATATTAAGTAATACCTATATTAAGAAATACTTTTATGTTATTAATGTATTCATAAGGCTGATGGGTCAAACTTCAATGGTTCTTCTCTCTTAAAAGCGTTTATACCTTAATGGCCAATGCTTGATTACCACCTCTTAGATAATAGTCTACTTTTTGTAAAGTTATTCATTCTTGGGAGAACATAGAATAAAGTTCATTATTTTTCATTTTTAAGGATGGCCTGTTATTTCATTTTTCAAACTGGTTTTAATTATAAAGGATGATTTTCAATCTCCCTTAAAAACAAATTTCTACTTTTTGAAAAGAAGATCAAATAGCCTTGCACCTTACAGACTTAACACATGAAAGAGGAATGTTCTGAAGATCTTAGTTCTCAGCCTTGCCTTGAATTAAAACTTTCTCATATGTGATAAAACGATTAAGGAATTGTCTCATTTATGTGTCTGTTTCTAAGGTCATGACAGTTTATTAAAGTCTTAGAATATATTAACTATGACCTGCTCCTAATTTATATTAAAATATGCCTGCAAGTTAGCTCTTGAACTAGAATATGGCATTTTGACACATTTTCCACTGGAGTGATCCTATTGTGAAACTGAGTCATCTTTCATCATCCGCTTAAAACTTATTATCTGTGAGTCAATATCCTTATTTGTCCACAGCACTTATGGTAAAGAGTGTTCAACTATAAAACCCCTCAGGTGTCAGTACACAGTTTGAGCAGAAAGAGTATCGATCACAGGTCAGAACTAGTGCTGGTGCTGAGGAGGTGGTGGTAACCACACCTACAGCTTCTAAAAATCCATGGCAGCTCAAGAGGCCACTGCTACCCTGTTAGCCAGATGATCTCCAGGGTTGGCAAAAGCCAAGTACTAATCTGGTTTAGAGAAAATTTAGAGAAAAAGAACTATAGTTAAATGTAAAATTCAAAAGTATAAGCGTAAGAGTAAATTTTTTTCTATCCAAATTGAGATAGTTACCATGTATTATTTTAGTACCTATCTTGACCCCAAAGCCCAATTATGGAAGAACCATATATTAAAACAAAAAGCACACCTGCTGATTCACCAGGGGCTGGTTTACTTTTCCTTTTTCCTTCTGGTAGAGGCTGATGTGGTCTTTGTCCCACTGGCTCATCACCTTGGATGGCTGTTAAATCATGCATACTGAAACTTCTTAAGCGCTCAGTGATTGCTCCTTGGCTCTGTTTAACAGAGAAGTGATAGATTCAAGAAAAAAAAAAATACTTTAAAATATTTAGTATGCTTACATTTAATTATCCCTATTTTATTATGAAACTTTCAGAAAAGTTGAAAGAATTCTACAATGAACATTTATATATTGTGTACATCTTGCTATATTTGCTTTATCACATATCTACCATCTATCCATCCATCAATCCATTTTCTTTTTTTAAGCATTTCAAAATAAGTTGTAGAGCTGGGCATAGTGGTGTGACTCAGCTACTTGGGAGGCTGAGCCCAGGAGTTTGAGATCAGCCTGGGCAAGACAGCAAGACACTCTTGTCTCAAAAAAAAAAAAATTATTAAAAACCAAACCAACTTGTAGACATCAGTACATTTCACCCCAAATATTTCAGCATTATATTTAATTTTAAAATATAAAAATTACCCTCAGAGACAGCATACACAATTTTGTTCTCTCCTAAAATTAGCACTTTGGGGCTTAAAGCTTGTGATTTAGGACAACTTTATAAAGCAAAAGAGACACTGTTTTAAAGCCAACTCAAGACTGGTAATGGCTTTATCTAGAACAAGACAGAAAAATTTAAGAGCCAAAGAGTCTTAGATATGAAATGATACTCAGTTTGTGAATTTACTATCTGGCAAGACATATCTACTACTATATAATCTAATTTTAAGTCCTTTTTCCCTAACAATATGGCAGACACTGGGCACAGGTGAGTATTTAAATTAAAATTAAAATTAAATAAAAGTAAAAATTCAGTTCCTTAATGCACTAGTCACATTTCAAACATTCAATAGCTACAGGTGGCCAGTAGCTACTGTATTGGACAGTGCAGAAAGTTCTATGATTTTCATCATTGCATAACCCTGAAAGAGACATTTTCTGAACTTTTCAGATAAAGTACATCCCCCCCCAAGTATAAAGCTTTGTAAAAAGAGAAAAAATTATTTTCTAAATTTACCCACTTTAAATGTGCATAGCATATAGATGACTCATTTCTTATTTATAGCTAGATTAAAAATATTCTTCTAAAGGTTTTTTCTATACTTATTATTTCTTCTTTTCACACATAGGAATTTGTGATTGCCTCTAGTTATAACATTACCATAGAAACTCATCCATAATGGTTCCTCTCTAAATTTCAAAGTCAAAGGTGCTGCAGACAATTAGGCATTATTGTTAACTTGTATATTACACTGAAGAAAAAGCTCTTGATTCATTAGTCACAGTTCAGTACTCTTGGGTTAGTGATATCATATTTTGTCAAAACCAAATGCCATTTCCATACCCCATTTGAGCTTAGCATTGCTATATTTTTTCAATTGTGACAAAGAATTATTAAAGCGTCTATATTCTCAATAAAAATAATTGGATTTCACACATATTTAAAACATTCTTGGCATGGTTAATTTATTATACTTGCTTCCTCTTTATCAGATATCATTTACTTATTAAACAGATGGTTGAAGAAGAGTTCAGAGATACACTGCAAGGAAGTGACCAGTGTTCATGTGAAACAGATGCCTTGTTTTCTTAGAACTGTCATTTTCTTTATTCCACTTTTGCATTTCTGTGCCCTCTCTCAGCAAGTCTTCTTTTTTTTTTTTTTTTTTGAGACAGAGTCTAACTTTATTGCCCAGGCTAGAATGAGTGCAGTGGCGTCAGCCTAGCTCACAGCAACTTCAAACTCCTTGGCTCAAGCAATCCTGCTGCCTCAGCCTCCCAAGTAGCTGGGACTATAGGCATGCACCACCATGCCCAGCTAATTTTTTTTCCTATATATATTAGTTGGCCAATTAATTTATTTCTATTTATAGTAGAGACGGGGTGTCGCTCTTGCTCAGGCTGGTTTCGAACTCCTGACCTCGAGCAATCTGCCCACCTTGGCTTCCCAGAGTGCTAGGATGTCAGGCATGAGCCACCGCGCCCGGCCTCTCAGCAAGTCTTGATCTTTTACCTACTACCACACAGATGACAAATGGTACACACGTTCATGATATCCTTTACCCGACTCACATGTAATTTCCAAGGCTGGCTGCAATTTTCAAACCCTCACCCTCAAGAAAGTACATTTTGGAATACAAATGAGTTAAAGTGTCATTGAATCAGTCTAGCTTTATAATTATATCATCCACAAACTTTGGTGCCTTTAACAAGTATGATCAAATTTCTTAGGCCATACCGCACAAAGGAACTCACACACCCTCTATGGTAGTGCTATCTATATTTTGCCTTCAGAGCAAGATTTTAAGATGCTCGAAGAGGGGACACATCTCAGGCTTCTTCTATTTTCCTAGTACATCTGGTTTGGTACTGAAGTCAATGCTCTTTTTATGCTTATTCTTACTCTTTCTTTTTCCTTTCTTTCCTTTTTCCTTCCTTTCTTCCCTTCTTTCAGACAGAGTCTTGCTCTATTGTCCCAGCTAGAGTGCAGGGGTGTCATCATAGCTCACTGTAGCCTCAAACTCCTGGGCTCAAGCGATCCTCCCGCCTCAGCTTCCTGAGGAACTGGGACTGCAGGTGTGCACCACCATGCCCAGCTAATTTTTCTACTTTTTCTAGAGATGGGGTCTCGCTCTTGCTCAGGCTGGTCTCGAAATCCTGAGCTCTAACAATCCTTTCTCCTCAGCCTCCCAAAGTGCTAGGATTCAGGCATGAGCCACTGCACCTGGCCCCCCTCTTACTCCTGACTGCTAAAGAGTTCTCCATAGATAGCAGCGTGTTTGATTGCAAACATTGTAGTTTGTATGCAGAGGTACAGCAGCAAACTACAGGTATGATTATGGTATCACTACACCATCCACCAGGAGTTTGCTTCAGGTTTAGATGAACACACTGACTGCCACACTAGAATAGATTTTTTTTCCCATGGAGCCACACTGTTTTATTAAGAAAACAGAATAAAAACTTTGAAAATAAAACGATAGTTTCAAATTTAATGAAAAATTTGTTATTTTTTTATTGTTTTCTTTGCATGAGTTATATGCAACTCACATGAAGCTAGAATCAATTTTGACACTGCACGCCACTTGAGTTGTCTGTGACTAACGACATAACTTATTGAATTTGTTTTGGAAAATTGAGTCTTCACATACGTCACGAGGCCCTGGGCTCAAAATTAGCATGAGTTAAATACAACTCACATGGCAGTTAATTTGTTAAACGTGGGCAAGGCCCAATCCTGACATATCTGGGTAATCTATTTACAATCTGGATTTTAATTGAACTCTTGAGTGATCAACTATTATTATCAATATCCAATTTTTTTTTTTTTGAGATAGAGTCTCACTTTGTTGCCCAGGCGAGATTGAGTGCCGTGGCGTCAGCCTAACTCACAGCAACCTCAAACTCCTGGGCTCAAGCAATCCTTCTGCCTCAGCCTCCCAAGTAGCTGGGACTACAGGCATGAGCCACCATGCCTGGCTCATTTTTTCTATATATATGTTAGTTGGCCAATTAATTTCTTTCTATTTCTAGTAGAGACGGGGTCTCACTCTTGCTCAGGCTGGTTTTGAACTCCTGACCTAGAGCAATCTGCCCGCCTCGGCTTCCCAGAGTGCTAGGATTACAGGCGTGATCCACTGCACCCGGCTAATACCCAAATATTATTAATACCTTCAAGGCTCCCAAGAAGGCCAGGGACTATAGGGAAAAACAAAAAGGGAATATGAGCTCTCTTTGAGAACCCCCAACACTTTAACAGCCATTATCACCTTGGAAAATTAGATTTTCCACTATATATTTTTTATGGGCCCCGAATAACACTAGTATGAAAAAAGAGAAATTAGTACAGTATAAGAACTTCAGAAACATTACATAAACTATAAGTATACAATGTAACCACTTTAAAAGTGTAATTATAAAATATTCATTTGTAAGGGCCTACCTATTCCCTACAAGTTTTTTTTTTTTTTTCCTACAAGTTTTTATATCTTCAGCACAAAAAGTTCATTAATAAAGGAACTATGCCATGCACAGTGGCTCATGCCTATAATCCCAGTACTTTGGAAAGCTGAGACAAGAGCATCACTTAAGGCCAAGAGTTCAAGACCAGCCTGGGCAACATAGTAAGACCTCTATCTCTACAAAAAATTAAAAAATCAGCTAGGTATGCTGGCATGCACCTATAGTTCCATGAGGCTGAGCCAAGAGGATCCCTTGAGGGCAGGAGTTCAAGGCTGCAGTGAGCTCTGATTGTGCCATTGTACTCTAGCCTGTGAGACTCTATCTCAAAGAAAATAAATAAAGGAAAAGAATTATCTTTGTTGTATAATGTTAAGTGGAAATACCTTCCTTCTACCTCAGAATTCAAAAACATTTGCACGATATAGTTGCAAGTATGCTATATAGTTATAAGTAGATAGGGAAAAATATATAAAAATAAAAACAGTATAATATTTAGGCAGAAGGGATGGGTGATTTTTTCTTTTTTTTCAACAATGTCTTTAATATCATGAAATTAGTCTTGGATGATTTAATGAAGCTTTAATACACTATAAAAATTTCTGATCCATTTCTCACTCATGTTTCCTGTATCTGATCCTTTACTCCTACTGATAAGTGAAAAATGGTTTCTTTATTTTGAGGGCAGAAATAGGGCATGACAGTTACTTGTCAATAAGAATGCTAAAAGGTATTGAAGTTTTGTTTCAATTAATAAAGTTTTGTTTATTTTCTTCTATTTGATTTATAACCTATTAAGCCAAAAGTATAAGAAAAAAGAGGAAAGTTTCTAGTCTAGTCTGCTGTATGGAAACAGCACTCTTTGTCAATAAGGAAGAAGGGTTGGTAGTTACCACCCTCAAGGTAAAAATAAATCCAGCAAAACACATACTTTCATCGGTTAAAAAAAAAAAAAGAAAGAATTGATAAAAATTAAAAAATAAATAAATAAAAAGGTAATAATTAAGTGTCCCAGAAGTTTAGATCCTATTCTCTGCAGAACTGTATATACACTGTGCATGTTAAAATTGATCCTGAAAATCAAAGAGAAAA